ACACAACAGGCCTTTTCCTCCAGGGAATCCTCCAGCCATCTTCTTTAAGTGTGGCTCTGACCTTCTGTTCCAAACACAACGCCAAAGCCATGGCACAAACCCTCACAACAGCTGCAGCTTTGGACTCACACAGCAGATTCAGGGGGCCTGAGTAGGAATAAAGTTGTGGTGGGTTTGTGTAGTAAGGTGTTCACAGTGAGGGGTCTGCAGGGGTGGCTTCTGTGAGCAGCCACCAGGAGCTGCCCCGATGTTGGACAGAGCTCCAGGACAGACCTGCCTCTGGGTAAGGCTGAGCCCAACAGCACTGCGGGGAGAGCCTGTGGGAGAACATATCAAACAAAGGGCAAAAACCACGGTGCAGCACCTGGGAGAGAGGTGAGAGTCTGTGAAAGAAACTACGCTGCAGGCCCCAAAGTCAGCAGGAAAGGAGGGACAGGAGGTGCTCCAGGCACTGGAGTTCCTGTAGCCCATGGTACAGACCACAATGAGGCAGCCGTGCCCCTGCAGCCCGTGGAGGTCCACGATGGAGCAGAGATGGCCCTGCAGCCCCTGGAGGACCCTATGTCCTGGAAGCAGGGGAGTGTGCCTGAACAAAGCTGTAACTCCATGGAAGGGACCCACGCTGCAGCAGGTTTGCTGGCAGGACCTGTGACTCTGCAGGGGACCCATGCTGGAACAGCTTATTCCTGAAGGACTGACCCCATGGAAAGGGACCCATGCTAGAGTAGCTTGTTCCTGAAGGGCTCACCCCACAGAAGGGACCCACGCCTGAGCTCACCACTCTAACTGCAGCTGCAGCAAAAAAAAGCATCCTGGTCCTGACACTCAGCTAAGCTCTTGCTGAAGACACACATCCTTACCTAGTCCATACTCCACAGACTCCGGGTGGTCATCATCCCCCTCCTCACTGACCTTCTGCAGGTGCTGCAGGTAAGCATCTGTGTGGAAACTTGCCATCTCCTCCATGGAGGCCACTTTTGGCTTGACTATCCTAGGCAGAGAGGAGGAAGGGAGCACGTCAGGACAAGAGGGCCTAGGGTTTGGCTGGAATGCTCAGCTTTAGCCTTTAACCTAGAAGCCTTCTTTTGGCAGTTACTGTGGTAAAAGCAAACAAAAATCCCTCTTCCTCTCGCACCAGACTGCCACTCCAGTGAGCAAACACCCAGCTGAGCTGGCCTTGACTCCAGCATGGCACTGCCTGCTATGCCCAGCCCAGGGAAGAACACCTACAGGTGCTGCCTGCATTAACCTTCCTACTTTGCTTCAAGTGTTTTTTCCCTTTTTCTGCATATTCTCCCAGTATGAGCAATGCCCAGTGGATCCAACATTCTGGTTACACACAGAGCCACTAACAGAGGGAAAAGTCCAGGCCCAGCTGCTGCAGCAGGACCCCACCCTGCCAGGTCAGGAGCTGGACAGCACTTCTCAAGTGCTCTGACCTACACCTGCATCAAAGCAGAGACCATTGCTCTTCCCAGCACCTTCCTGGGTTTGAGTGCTTTGCAGTCTGCCTAAACAAATCCTGCAACACACTGAACCCTCTCCAAACCTCAGACACTGGGGGCACACATGGGCAGCACAGCATAGGAAAAAATGGGGAGACCGCAGAAAACTCCCAGCTCTTGCCAGGCACTTCCCAGTCCCTGTCAAGGCAAACAGCCCTTCAGGTCTGCTAGATGATGGTACCTACAGCCAGGTACCAAGCACACTCTGCCAAAATGGCTAGAAAAAAAAATTCTTTTAAAAAAGAAGTCCCAATAGGACCTTCTGGCCCTGCTGAACTGGAGCATGGGATTTTTTTTAAGAACATAAGAGAGGTGAGCTAAGCCTTTTATTCCCTTCATGTGCTCCAGTGTCAAAAGCCAAATGGAGCAGGAGGGATCTCACTCTTCTGCCCCAGATTTCACGTTGTCTTCTCTCCTGAACAGCCCCAAGACCTCACAAGAAGTCTCTCAGATCAATCACGACACAGCAAAACAACAAGGTCCCTCTCTGTATCAGCACCAACTGAGCAGTGGATCTGGAGCAGCACCAAGGTTGTCACCCTGCTCCGAGCCCCAAGCCTGGGGGTGACAGACGCTCTGCAGAGAAGGCACGAGAAAATCTGTGCTCCACCAGACCAGGAGAGTAACCACGAATTACACCTGCCACCATAATCGTGTCCACGTAGCAAAACAAGCATTTTCCTTAGATCCCAGAAATACACACTGTGGGGGCTCCCTGCCAGCAGGGACAGCGTGAAACCTGAAGTTACTCAGCACCTTCCAAACCTCAGCGGAGAAGAAAACATCCCTTCACAGAAAACGGGAGCACTTACTTCATCTGGTCGAGCAAGCAATACGCCTCAATCAACGAATGCACCATGCTGGCCTAAAGAGAAGAGCACATCTGTGAGAGCAGGAGACACAAGGACAGCAACCGGGGGCATGTGGGGGCCCAAGGAAGGACTCGCAGCCGAGCTGTGGCTGTGACTTCCCCCAGCAGCGGCTCTCCCGGCACGGCCGGAGCCGGGCAGGGCACCCCGGGGGTGCGTGAGGGGCCTCCCGGTGTCCCGGGCAGAGGCACAGCCGGGGAAGGGAAGCGCAGCGCTTCAGTGTCGCTGTCACGGCGCTGCCAGGGGCGGTGTGAGGGCACAGACGGGCCCCCCCACACTCTGACCGCACACTCCTCCCGCCGGGGCCGCCCGTTCCCCGCTCCCTCCCGCCGTGCCGGGCCCCCCCGCCCCGCCGCCCCCGGCGCGGCGCTGACCCGCTTGGGCACTTTGCAGAGGGAGTCGCAGAGCTCCACGTACTCCGGGCTGTACACGTAGACCGGCGGCGCCGCCGCCATCGGGGCCCACACGGCCGGGGCCGGGGCTCAGCAGCACGGGCGGTTCCGGCCCCGCGGCTCGCCGGGAGCTGTAGGCCCGCCCCGCCGCCCTCCCTCCCTCCCAGCCAGGCCGGGCAAGGACAGGCCGCACACGCTGTTAGAGACGTTTTTATTGGGGCCCCCACGCGGCTCGGGGTGGTGTCTGTTATCTAAAAACGTAGTAATTGTCATTAGAAAAGGCCCGAGCCCTACACGCACCGCCCGCCCTGCTCGGGGTGCCCGAGCCCCGCTGAGCCCCGGCAGCTCCCACCGGGCCCCCCCCCGTGCCGGAGGGAGGAGCCGGGCTGGGGCTCGGCCCTATCAAGGCTCCTCTGCCCGGGGCAGGGGTCACACTGGGAGGGATCAGCAACATGTACACAACAGCCGATGCCTCAAGAGACCACCTCTCTCGACTCTGAGGCCAAACCAACCTCTGGAGATAAAATCCCACAGGAACACACACAGGAAAACATCTGGCTCTGGAGCCACCCCGGGGAGCGCTGCGGGCAGCGTGGGCAGAGCACGGTGTTGGCACGTGGCACAGGCACTGTCACCCTCCCAGCTCAAGAGGCAAGTTGAGCTGGTGACCATTGCCCTCTCAGAAGGAGCTCTGCTGGGGCATCCACCTGGCACAGACCACGTCCTCTGTGCTTGCCACAGTGGATGCGGCCACCCTGACAGAGCTCCCACGAGAACATGCAGCCATCCAGGCCTCTGGGTGCAGGGAGTGCCAGTGCCTTTCCCTGGGAACGATGGCAGTGGTGAGAAAAGCTATGTTCAGTGTGACCAAGGGGACAGTGATCTGCTCAGCCTTGGGGCTGAGCTACGAGGACGTAGAAAGGTTAAGGAGCAGAAGGAAGTCTGAGAGAGAGGCTGGTGGAACCAGGCTCTGCCCTCCCTGACAGAAACAGGAACAGCCACCCGAAAATACACAGGTTCAAGCAGATCCTGTATCCTCCCCTGCCAGGTGAAGGCAGGAATAGAGGAAAGGAGTGGGTGGAGGCAAATCCCCTCCTTGCCCACATCGCCTCTCCATGTGACTGTACAGCAGGTATGAAGCTCTGGCTGTGGAAGGCCAGGCAATGGATGAGGTGCATGTTAGTCCATCTACTCCAGAGGTGTTGCCATGGCTGTGATACCCCCCAGACCATGGCAACCTCTACAAGAAAGATGGGTGAGAGCTGCAGGTGACTGCTTTCTGAGGGGCACAGAGGGTCCAAGAGGCCACACCGACAGTCCTCTCAGGGAAGTCTGCTGCCTCCCTGAGGCCCAGGTTAAGGGCAGCACTAGAAAACTTCCCAGCCTGGGTCAGCCTTCGGACTGTTACCCACTGCTGGCCTTCCATGTGGTCAGCAGTGAAGCCACAACACGTAGTCCAAGGGCAATCAAAAGAGACTTCAGGGCGTGGGGAGGGTTGGTAAGTGATTCTGAAACACAGGTTCTTTCCTCTGTCCCTCCAGTTGTGGGCAGGGACATTGGAAGAGACAGACCTAGTCTGTTTAATATATGACTTGGTGGCTGGTGTCACTGCCACGATTTCAGATTTTTCTATAACAGCACAGGCACACTGGTGTTGGATAGGATCCACCTTCCCCAAAGGGGAAAGGGATCTTTGCTCAGAGCTGCACCTGCAGGATAGAGTGGAGCAGGCACCCACTGTTTCCCCACTCCTCCCTGTGCCAGGCTGTGGGAGCTGGGGCCAAGGCCAGAGCTGAGCGTTAAGGGCACGGCTGTGATTGCACAGGTAACACCAAGCAGCCAGCTCAGAGCTGCTTCAAAAGGCACGTGTGACCTGGCCACCAGCACTGCTGCCAGGGACAAGTATATGGCACAGAGGGGCTGCCACCAGCATGCCCCAGCCAGAAGACCTGTCCTTACATCTTGGTGGCAACAGGGATCCTGGCTACCACAGCCTCCCCAGCTCTGCACACAGGACCCCCGAGGGAAGGGTAATGGGCTGCCTACTTCCAAGCAGCACAGCTGTGGCTGGGCTGGACCATTTTGATTTTGGGCGTGCTGGGACAGAGACTCAGGCATCATCCCCTATTTCTCTAGCAAAACTATTCCAGCAGCAGTAGGAAGAGCAAGAGCTCCAGCCTACACTAGTGTAAATCCTGCAGATTGGAATAAAAAGCAGCACAGTTAAAACACAGTTAAAAACTGCAAACCTGCTGGAGGCAGGGAGAGCATGAGCTGGTCAGGGAGCACTGCAGTGCTGAGCTGCAGGCAGGTCTGGTCAACTGCCTCAAACAGAGGTCCCTCTGGGGGTGATGGCTCAGGAGGAGCCATGCAGGCAGACACTTCTAACAAACGCAGGCTTCAAAGCTCAGCCTTTCCCTTGCTCCTCAGGCCACACACAGGCACAGGTCAGTTTAGGACACGTGCCGCCTGCAGGGCTCCTCAGAGGGCCGTTCACCCACTGAGAGGCCAGGGCTGGGAGGAGAGATGGCCACGCAGGCTGCCTGCAAACTAACCTAGTGTTCGTCTTTACAAGCTGTACGAAACAACCCTCCCGCAGCATCTGCAACCCAGCGAGGAGCTGCGAGAGCTACTGCATGGAGCAGCCGTCTGAGGGCAGGAAGTCGTACACGTACAAGGCCACCGACTTGGACAGGTAGGTCATGGTGCCGAACCGGCCGCTCGGGGCACTGTCGTACAGCAGGATGCAGATGCCTGTCGAAGGATCCCTCTCCAACACGCGGTCGTCAGCACCCAGGGCTTTCTGGATTTTGGACAGGGAAGGAGAAAGCTGACATTAGAATAAGAGCAACCACCTCACCACCTTCCACCCCGAGCACCCTCCGTTGCACTCACAGGTGTGACAAGTTGACAATGAGCAGTGGGAGGAGGACACTACAGCTTTGCTGTGACCCATGAACGCAAGAGGGACAAGGGGCAGGGCCCTCCTGCTCAGGTGGGTGAGCCCTGTGCAGCTGTGGGGAATGCAGCCAGCAGCCCTAGGTGAGGCTTGGCCCTTACCTGCTCCTCATAGAAGAGGTCATTGGCTCTGTGCAAGATCTTTTCCACAGCTATGATGCCACCGATGGTGTGCACCTCCATGTCCACCAGCATGGTGAGCACCAAGATAGCTTCCACCAGCAGCTGCCTGTACTCTGGCTGGGGCACGCGGTTGAGGACAGACTCCACATGTGCAGCAAACTTCATTTCCCCTGGGGTCATCTGTGAGGATGTAGAAAGAAGTGTACCGAGAGCACCGTATCACCAGCACAAGTCCTGAGCTACGCTGGGCACTCACCCAGGGCAACCCAGCACCCAACAACAACCCGCATGCCCCATTTCCCCTTCACATGAACCTCCTACCTCTCTGGTTGTTGAGGAGGGGAGAACAAAGCCCTCCACAGACAGGCCGTGGCACTGCAGAACAAGAAAGAAAGATCATGGTTATGGCTTGGAGAAGCATCGTGCTAAGACACAGGTCCAGCCCACCAGCTCACTCCCACTTGAGCACTGGTGTGTGCTGCCTACACACCCCAGCTCTGCCTCCTGACTCTGCACAGCATCACTCCTTTCCCATCATTTCAGCATCAACCGGAGCCCCCCTGCACAGGGCTCTGCTCCCTGGCTCAGCATGCTGACCATGAGCTGTGCCTGGACCTCCTTCAGCTGTGACTCCAGCCCTGCCCCTGTCTGGCTAATGCTCCCCTCTGCAAGGCACAGGATGAGTTAGGTCCTACATGACTTCGAGGCAGTTCCAGGTCTTCCCCAGCTTTCCAGGGCCAGCTGCAGGCCTTGTCCATGAAGCACATATCTACACAATATCAGGGACCAGCCCCGAGTGTCTAAGTGCCCCTGGCAAGGCTGGTGCCTGGGACCACAGGAGAGGCACCAGCTGGACATCCAGCTCACCTTCTGCAGGACCTTCCAGACCTTCTGGTAGAAGCCCACAGGGACACGGTTGAGGGCCCCATCCAGCCGCCGCCTCCGCTGCCACTGGCCCTGCCGGCTGTCCTTACTGCCCTGGTCTTCCAGCATGCTTGAAAAGGAGTCCTTGTCCAGCAGCTCAGCATGCCCAGCAGACTGGGCAGACAAAACAAGGACCACAGAGACTGCTGCAAAGTTAAATACCCCACAAGAGCACAACCTGCTACTGCTCAAGAGTTTCTGCTTCTCCAGTCTGACAGAGCTCCCACCCCCTGCCCCCAGCAGAGCCCACCTTACAGCACCCCCCAGAGCACAGCTCCTTCCCACCATCACAAACAGGACGGACCCCATGCATGCAGCCAACAAACACAGGTTACCAGAGCGGACTTGAGGTCGATGTCCCTGGACTGCAAACTGACGGGCTGAAGGAGAAAGGGAGAGAAGGAAATCAGACCGTGCCAGAGCGGGGCAGCGGTCACAGCAAGCGGAGCAGCAGCAGCACAGATCAAGCTCGGGTCACGGGGCAGTTATCCCAGGGCTGCAGTTAGCTGGAGATGCAGTTTTGAGAGGAAAGTTGTGGAAAAGTCCCATGTTACCATCAGAGGGGAAGGATTGTACCAGGGCACGGAGCAGCTGAGGGGCCCCACATGCTGGTGGGGTGCATCAGAGGTGGGTTTGTGCCAGCCTGCACACAGGAGCAGAGCTGCTACTGCTCTGCTGGCTGCTGGCATGGGCAGGGACTGAGTCTCGGGTAGACAGGAGGGCCAGTAGCAATGTCACTGCCCACAGATGGCCCTCTGCAATATCAGGTTTCACACTGCAGCAAGTTGGCCCTAAACCTGCTGCATCAGCCTGGTCCCTGCAAGCCCCATCTCTTTGAGGACAGGACCCCTTCTAGAGCTCAGGACTCCTATGGACACACACCAGACACATGAGTAGGTCCTTGGCATTTGTAGCTGACCAGAAGCCTCTTCCCCCAGAGAAGAAATAGCTGGGGAGGCTACAGGCAGGATCCAGTGAACTGTCTGGCAGGGTCACTACTGGTCATGGCACTGGAAGCATTGTGCCATCCTGCTCACTGCATTTTGTGAGTGTAATGGAATGTATAATGTATTTGGCCACAGAAGCTCTGGAGCACAGCTCCCAGCTGGCTGTAATGGCAGTACACCCACAGCTTAGGGAAGCCTTCCTTCCTGTTAATCCAAACACGGCAGGTCCTATTCCAAGGGGAGCTCCTGTGGGGCAGTGCCAGCCTTGGGCCCCCACAGCACGTTAAGTCATGCTGACCTCTTCCCAGGGAGCCAGCCTCCTTCCCTGTCCTGAACAGAGCAGCCCTGAGCCTGCCTAGAGAGGAGAAGGCAATTCATTGCTGCAGCAGCTGAGGGAAGCTCATTGAGTCATGCATGTGAGGAAGCTGTCTTGGTGCATGGCATGAGGGGCAAAAGCTGAGGTTGCAGGACCAGGGGGGCTTCACCTTACTCCCAGGCATAGACTGCCTACGTTTATTCAATTGCTGCAAGAGAAGAAGGAAATGAAGGTTCTGCTGTTGGAAGAGGCCCATCAAGATGCTACCCACACCTGGGACACTGCATGGTCCTCCCCACCCCTGCACCTTCTCAAGCACCCCTGTGCTCCCTCTACACTGCCAGAGCAACCCCCACCCACTAACAGATCCACCCCAATCCTCCCCCCCGGGGCAGGACCAGAGCCAAAATTAGCCCTTGGAAGCAGCTGAGATCTCTCCCACTCTTCCATCAATTCTGCCTGGTTTGTAGCTGTTTGTCACCCACAAGACCTGTCATGAGCAGCCTGCACTGCCTGCCCTCACCTGTCTGATTTCACTTTTCAGCCTGAGGAGGCCGGAGCGCTCAGATCTGGTGCCCCCAGCAGCCTCCACGTCATGGATGGAGACGACAGGGGTGACCGATGAGTCCGCTGAACGCACTGCAGGGGAAGAGAGGTCTAGAGTGGGCACCATGGCTCAGGGCATGGTTGTCCCTTGTCACTGCTCAGGCACTGGTACCTCTGCGTGCCCTCGCCCTCTATCCCAACAGCATCAGAGATCCATGAGCACAGCACAGTACTGCTTCAATTCAGACCTGATCAGGTCAAGTGGCAAACTAAGCAAAGCCCAAACAGCCACAGGGCTCAATCCCCAGAAATCACTCAGCACCATCCTTATGAAGAGCACAGCTTCTTGCTGGACCCCCCCAGTGCAGAAGCAGCTGTGCTGAACATGAGGGAGGACAGGGACACGTAGATCTGACCACACTCTGCACCAGGACCCAGATTTGCCCAGAAATGCTCTCTGCTGAGAGACTCACTGCTCTTTTCCACTCCGAACTCCTTGCCAGAGAGGATGTGGTAGAGGAGGCTCTTCATGTCTGATGGGCTGAGATTCATCAGGTTCTCCGTGGCTTCTGTGGCTGGAGAGAACAGACCTGGGATTTTGTACCCTGCCTCATAGTTCTCCTAGAACATTTCTACCCTGCACTACACTCTGTGAGCAGGGGCAGCACTGGCACAGGAGTTCATCCTCCACAGACATACACTAGCTCCAGTTGTTGCCTACAACAGGGACTCTTCCCCATGCCATCCCAACACACGCCAGGATGGAGACTGCAGTGCAATCACTCGCCTGTGCTGCCCAAGAACAGGTCCAGCTGCAGATGCTGGCACTTCCCTGCAGGGTCTTGTCCTAGCCTGAGCTGTCCATTTTTAACAGTGCTCCTTTCTGGCTGACAGAGCCCCGAGCGTCACAGCACCCACCCCAGCCGGGGAGCCGTCCCTGCCACACGTACCCGAGCAGCGCAGGGAGTGTGCCAGCTCTGTGGCCATCACCTGGATGATGAGCCCAATGCGGATGCGGAACATCTCCACGAAGAGCGCAGGCTGTGTGCGTATGTACATGGCCAAGTACACCATGATCTCCTGGAGGGGCACAGGCAGATCACCCCACTGCTGCTCAGCAGGGCAGACACCCAGATGTGGGGTCCCTCTGGTACCCTGTTCCCTCACCTGGGTGAGGATGGCCACACTGAGGTTCTTCTCACTGGCTTCATCAATGAGGTGAACAAGTTCTTCGTAGGGGACGGGGCTGGGACATGAACAAACAGCAGAGCAAGTGAGAGGCAGCAGAGCAAGCCCTGCATGCCCCTGGTCTGTACAGCCCCAAGAGGAAAGATACAGGCTGGGGACAGCCAGCCAGGGCCGCTCCTGCCCATGCACCCCAGAGCAGCAGGCTCACATCCAGATCCAGCCCAGCATGCTGGTGGAGGGAGAGGCGCCACACTCACGTGGAGATTGTCTTCTCACGTGGCTCTGGGGGCAGCCCCACAGTCAACTGCTTCTGGTGAGACAGGAGGTCAGTGCAGGCCTGGGGACAGAAAGGGTCAACCTCAGCCATTGTAAACTGAATGTTTGGGGGCTCAGCACAAGGCAGAGGGAGACAGAGCTGATGCAGCCACGGTTCACCTGCTCACTCTGCTGCCTCCTCCCCGACAGACCTCAGCCCGCTAGAGGCTGGCTGCACAGCTGTTACCTCATCCAGAGCTTCAACCTTCTTCTTGAGGATGCCAGAGATGTAGCGGATCAGGGCCCACTGGCGTGTCTCCCCCACCCGCACATACAGCTCAGTGAGGAGCTCCTTGACAGTGGGGCCAGGCTCGCTATCAAGCCCCGTGTGCCACTCGGGCCCCCTGTGGTGAAGGAGGTGCTGGGTTATACACAGCAATTTGTCTGCGGCAGCTCCCCAGCAGCCCCCCTGGGCTGTGCCAACCCCCTCTCTGCTCAGTGAGCTGTTGGGATGCAGAGTTCACCCCACCTGAGCAAGTAGAGCATGTAGAGGATGTCTGCTTGCTCCTGCAGCGTGGGGCAGACGCGCAGCTGGTCCACCAGTGCCTTGCAGTCCACGCTGCCATCCACGTCACGGGGCAGGTTCATCTCTGCATAGACTGCATGGCTCTGGGGGAAGGGAGACCCGTGCTGCTGGTTAGCACCACCAGCACCCTGCCCCAAATGGAGCCAAGGACATTCACCCGTGGATATTCCCCCTCAACAAACACCAAGCCTTCCTCGCGCAGTCCTGCAAAGACACTCTGGCTCCACCTGAAAGGATAGCAATGCTCAATCTGGGAGGGACAGGGCTCACCTTGCCATCCATGTCATGCTGGCAGGGTGAACCCAGCAGGTTAACCGACTGCTGGGATGCCTGGAAGATCTTGCTGGGGACATACAACCCAACATCTAAAAAAAAAAAATGTAAAAGTTGGCAGAGACACTTCTGACCCCAATCACCACTGCTTGCCCCAAACCACCTCACAGACACCTGACACTGCTCCCCCAGTAGCCCCTGCAGAGAAGTCAGCTATGGGAGAAGCAGCCAGGACTAACATGATGGACATAATGTTAGTTGCTCTGCAGTCCATGGGGACCCCAGCATCACAGAGCTGAGAAAGCTCCCAGATCACCTCAGCCTCACCCCTGGGCTCAAGGGAAGGTGTGGAGGGTGCTGGAGTTACTCACTCTGGACATGCAGGTCCTTGGCCTTGGATGCCAGGGACATGAGGTCACGGGTGGTGTGGACAGCAGCCCGGAAGCGGCTCAGCCCTCCCCGCTGGGCAGTGGGGGGCAGGTTGGCCTGGGGAGTCGTGTGCTGCAGCAGGTGGTCCAGGTACTGGGCAACCTCATCGTAGGCATCCTCTGGAAGGGAAGGCAGCAGAGGGGGGTTCAGCCACTGTGTGCTGGGGCACCCCCAGGGCCAGAGAGACCCCAGTTGTGCCTCGGCAAGGACAAAGCTTTGCTGGCCGCACAAAGTGACAATGTGGGGCCAGTGCCAGCAGCCAGGCTCACAAAGCACTGCAGCCAGGGCACCCCTGTTCCTGCATGACTCTGCTGCCTGGGACACTGGTTGACAGCTAGGGCCCCAAACTGGGGCTCCCTCCAAGTCCCGTCTGGACAAAGGAAGCCGTGGTGCTGCATCGTGTGTTTGGTACAAGCCTGTGCAAGGACAGGAGTGTCCCACTCAAACCCTGCAGTGAAACCCTCCCACTCTTTCCCTTCAGAGGCACAGCCACGATCAGCCTGTTCAAGCAGAGACCACTCAGGAGCACCCCAGCACAGCAAGGGCATCTTCCAAGCAGGACTCCAGCACAGAAGCAAGGTAGGGTGAGTTTTGCAACAGTTATTTCTAACTAGGAGTTAGAGGAGGAGTTATGGCTCCTGCCTTCTCTTTGCCCAGCCTTGAGCAGCTCCAACTGCTCCCACACCAGGAGCATCAGAGGCACCACATGCTAACAGCAGCATGGAAGAGGGTGCTCAGAGGCCAGGTCTCTGCTCAGCTGGGAGGTAGAAGTGAGGAGGGTGCCCCTTGGGGAAGATACCCCCAATAAAACACAGAACTGATGATGCACTTCCAGTGGGCCAGGACAGGGCAAAGCCATGCTGCTCTCCAGCTGGCAAACTCGGAGGTGTGTCAGCCCTAGGAGGTGAGCTGTGGACTGTACCTGAACCAGCCTGGCATTCCCTTGAGGGAATGCCTCATGCCAGTGCCTGGAGGCTCGGCTGGAGGAGTCCTCCAGGCACCAGATTTGAGAACATCCTCCTGCCTGGCTGCAGCACCTGACCACAGGAAAAACTTAAAACTGAGCATCTTTGAGATGCCATAGAAAGGCCAGGCAGGTCTTTCCCCTTTCTCCCACTGGGGCTGGAGGGGAAGCAACACCTTGGACAAACCCAGATGCAGCCTGTAAGGAGGCTACAAGCAAAGCAAGATAAGGGCAAAAGAAATGAGTGTTCAGAGTCCCAGCAGTGCAGACACTGGCTGCAGGAGCTGCAGAGGCACAGCAGATGGTGGGGAGGCCAATGATTACCAGCACTAGGTCACACAGGAAGGGATATCCCCAGGCCTGCTCGCAAGGGGAACAGTAAAACTTGCACCTCGTCGTGGTCCCAGCACAAGGGGGGTCCCCCTCATGCTGTGATGGGCCAAGGCACTCTCAGGCACCCTCTACACAGCATCAAGGCTTCAATTTGGCACCCACTGGAGCACCTCTGCCCAGGAGAGGGGCAGAGGCTTTGGGAAAAAGACAAATTGCTTAAGGACACAGTGGCTCTTCCCCACTGCCTTGGTCACTGTGCCTTCACATTGCACCACACTTGTGCACCAAAGACCCTCAGCCACATCTCTCCAGTGGAGGTAAGCTGCCAATCCTTTGTCTCTTCCCTACGAAGGTCGCAGGAGCTCGTTCCAGACAAGGCTGACAGAGGGTCAGATGGGAACATGGTGAAAACCCAAGTGCATGGATGCTAGCAGGGAGGTTGGGTGTTACGGGTTTAAGGGTGAGTTGGGTATTTGCCACGCCACAGCAGCGACTGGCCTGTTCTCCCTTACCCTCCTCTGCTACCTGCAAGCCATGCAGCCACTCCTCGCTGTCCAGCTCCTCAAAGCTGTCACTGCAGAGCCTGTAACTCTCGGCAAAGACCTTACCCTCTGGCCCAGGGTCCATAAAACTGAGATGTGTTCGGCATGACGTTGTCAGGAACTCCGACAGTTTACCCGTCTGGATCCTGGGCGAGAGATGGGGAGGTCACATGGGAGAGAAGAGGGGAGGCAGTACCCCTGGCTTTACCTCCTGGCTGCAGGGCAGGCCCTTTGGCAGGGAGAGATGGACCTGTCAGGAGCATATGCACACCAGCGTCTGCTTTAGCTGTCTGCAACTCCTTCAGCCACAGGTGGGCATGGAAGGGCTGCCCAAAAGATATTAGAAGGATCCTGCAGCCATGGGTTTGATGACACGAAGAGCTTTATCCTCTCTTTCATCTCCTCTGTTGAGACTGTAGCCCCAGGGTGCACTGACAGCCTAGCACACCCCAGTGTGTCCTCCCCAGCCTGTTTCCCCAAAGCCAATGCGCTGCCCACCAGGCTCTTGGAGGCTTGACAGCCCTCACCCCAGGAGGGTGTGCTCACCTTGCGCCGCCGAAATACCCGTCCTGCAGCTTCCGCAGCATCGCCAGCACCGTGGGGTGCACACTACTGCCGGCTTCATCTGTGGGCAAGAGGCACAGGCAGTCAGGCTCCTCTGCTCAAACTGGCTCCCAGAAGGTAACCCAGGGCCAGGTGGGCATTCAGGCACCCAAAGCAGCACGGGCAGACCCTTGTTTGGGGCATGCAGATGCGCTGTGGTACCAAAAGCACCACCCAAAAAGGGAAATTCGGGACTGTCCAGGCTGGATTCCAGGAAAACTAAGCCAAGATGCACGCCAGGCTCCTGGGATTTCAGCTTGGCTGAAGCTGACAGTACCAGACAACAGCACCCAACAGCCCCCTGCTCTCTCCCTGCCTTTCATATGAGGCAGCAGATGGGGGGCTGCTGTCAGGGGCAGGAGGCACCATAGGAAAGGGCACACTCAAGACACCAAGGGGATTTCAAGCACACAAGGAGAATCAAAAAGGCCTGAAAGCAGAGCAGAGTCACTTCCCCGCACCTCATGGGGAAGCTGGGAGCTGCTGCAGGCAAGCCAGTTCTGCTCTACACCATTGCAGAGCTCTTTGCTCCTTCTGGTTTACTGTTTTCCCCTCTGTGTTGCCTAGGAAAGCCTTTAGCAGGTGGTCAGTCTTAGTGAAGAGTCAAGATGCAGAAAGAGCCCCAAGAACATTCCTAGAGGGGAACTGCTTTTTTTGGCCTTGCTCCCAAAAGGCCTTCCCACAAGCCAGGTTGTCTGGAGCCACTGAGCTGCAGGCACCAGTGCCTGGCAGGCAACCCCACCAGATGCCAGGCAAACTGCCCACTTGGCGTGGCTCTTCGGAGTGGCAAGCTCTTCACAGAACACTGCTGGCTGCTCCAGCCCCACCATGTCCCCATTACTGAGGCAGTCACAGATCTGCCCACCCCCTTCCTCCTGCAGAGGCTGCTTCCCAGAGCTGCTCTAGCCAAACGCCTTGGGAGGCTGGAGGATCCATACCGAGCATGATGTGGGAGACGGGGAAGGTGATGGTTGGTTGCCCAGTCATTCTCCAGCGGCTGCAGAGATAGGAGAGGTCCGTCCTCAGCATCTCCACAATCATCTTGTTGTCAAGAGCCAGGTAGAACTGCTGCTGGTCTATGAACTGTGAGGACAGGAGGAGACATGAGCGGCCCTTTATACAGCCACCCTATGGTGCCACCCACATCTTCCCACAGGCATTCAGCCAGGCCAGACATGCTGTGCACCCAGAGGACATGCTCCTTTGCACTGACAGCTCATCCCACCTTACTTGGCAGATGCCAGTACAGTTTAGTAAGGGAACCTCAACTTGTAGGGCAGCTACTGGCCATTAGCAACTATGAGGAGATAACTAATGCCACAGCTCAGCAGCAGCATCCAGGCCTCCTCCTGGTGTCCTTGTCAGGGTGAGCAAAGAGATTTTCACCCAATACTGATCATCAGAAGGCTCAAACCACCTCTCCCAGCATGCACACAGCCAGAACCACCAACTGGGCTCCTCATGCCACAGTGCTGGGGCTGCTTCACACTCCCAGAGGGTGTTGGGCCACATCTGAGAATAACTCGAGCACTCAGCCAGTGGAGAAACTTCTTGCCCAGTTCCAGATCACATAACAGCTGAGAATGAGCCCATGCAATATCACCCACCTGTGGGGTAAAGGTAAAGATGTTCTTCCTGATTTTGTAGAGCTTGGAGGTCCCAAGGACACCCATGTGCCGGTAGGGCCGTCCAGTCAGGCTCATCTGCTTGTTGCGGCCTGGGAGGGCAGGAAGAGGAGTTTTTAGTGCAAGCCTCCTAATGAAAGGGGTTGCAGCAGCAAGTAGTGCTAGGCGTCTTGCTACCAGCCAGCAGGAAAATGCTGGTTTGTGGGTGGGATACCCCAGAACCCTGTGTCAAGCTAGTACAGCTCTAAGTGACAGTGATACTCTGTCCCCAGCCCTGCCCAGGGGGCTAGAGACACGCTGAAACAGGGACAAACAGCCTGTCCTGAACTTCTGCAACACGTCACACCTCCAGGTTTTTGGGGATGTCAGAAGTTGGAACAGGGCTAGGGGTACTCCTCTGCATAGGGCTGGTCCCCCAAAGCTGACAGCTCTATCAGCATTCCCATTGCTCACAGATTACTCCCAGAGCTCAGAATGGTGCAGCGCAGCATCGCCCCTTGCTCATGTCAGCCCTGACACCTGCCAGGCTGTTCCCCCTGCCCATCTCACACTTGGCATTTTGGTGGCCTAAATTAGCCACCAAATTAAAATCACAGCAGATCAGGTGTCTCCTATGGCCCAGGCTAGATCTCTGGCTCCTGCACAAGGCCGATGCCCAAGGGGTTGCAGCATCAGGGAACATGCGTGCAGAGCTGAGCACACCCTCCCCTCACACCCTGCCCACCCCCCAACAACAGCCATTCTGCCTGAGCTCCAGGCTCTCTCTGCCAGGGACAGCCAGGGGACCCTTCCTGGGGTCTGGTTGGCCTTCCCATCGAGATCTGGGACAGGAACAAAAGCCAACTCCTGTACACACCAGGTCCTTCCTATATGGATCAAAGTCTGTCTGTCCCTGGGGTGGCTGTGCAACTGCAATGCCAAAGCTCTATCCCTGTCAGAATAACCCTGAACAACACTGCCTGTCACCTTGTTCCCCTTGGGCACGAGTAGCTTTACTGGGCTCAGAAATGGGCAGCAGAACCCTCATCAGCAGGACATGAGTGTCTATGAGCAGGAGTGCCAGGGGGTGGGACAGACCCTTCTGCACCCCCTTTGCTGCAGTAGCAGAGAGTCCAGCTCACCCAGCCGGGCATAGATGTGGCTGAGGATGCGGGCAGGCTGCACTCTGATGGGGTAGACATCTTCCACAGTCTCCACGTCAATGCCCTCCTTCTTCAGGATTGCCTTGATCCCCTCTGTCTCAGCCAGGATGCACACTGTGGAAGGAGGACAGGCTCAGTGCAACAGGGGCACAAGGGTGTGACAGCACTGCCCCATGCCTTTGAGGACATATACAAGGTGCCACACCACGGAGAGGCAGCTGTCAGGGGTGCCTCTGGGAGCCAGTTCCCACTGCAGAGGTCTGCCTTGCCCCTCCTAACACTCTCTACACCCAAGTGTACCGCACCAAGTGGCAGGAAGACAGTTTTCAACCTCTCTGCAGAGGAGGCTACAGCAGCTGTTATTTCCCTCAGTCAACACAGAGTGGAATGGAAGGACTTGCACCCCATCTTCCACCTCCCTTGCCAGGTCTGAGATTGGGAGGTACTGGCAGCAATGCAGTAGAGCCACCCAGAGCCACCCCTGTGAATTCTGCACTGCCAGAGTCCCCAGACCTGCCAGGCTCAGAGGTTTGGGACTAATATTCCTTTCTCTCACCTTGAACCACCACATCAGGCTTAGGGACAGTCGCGAACCGGCGGTTGAGGGGATCTATTTCACCAGGAGCCAGAAACCCCTGAGGGAAAAATGGTATGAGGAGATTAACGTTTTGTGGGCAGCGTAGAATGGGTGACGCCTATGGACAACCCACCTTTAAGAAGTCCTGGGGGATGGGAGTGGCAACTTCCCCAAGGCAGGTGGCAGCATTTGCCCCTTGAGAGCTCAGAGCTTGGCCCCACAGCCCTCCCCAGCACCCAGGGTGACTGTACCTCAGCCATCAGGCAGCCCAGGATGTAGAGGGACTGCCCCCACATGTGCGGCAGCTTGCCCATGGGTATCCTGTCCACAGTGTGGGGGTTCCTGTACTCCTCATCCACCTGGAAGACAAGCCAGGAGGTTAAGGAGGGATCCACAGACACAGGATGCTGAAGGAAGCATCCTCACTGTATTTTGAAGTCCAGCAGTTCAAGGCTTGAAACAAGAGCCTACGACAGCATTTGTCAAGAGAGGGTCCAAAACAGTCTGGCTACATTCCTCCCCTCTTCTTGTGACTGCCCCAGACATCCACATCAGACAACAGATCAGCTGCTCAGACCATGTTTGGTTTCCCAACTCAGGCCATTAGAAGGAGATGCTCTCGAATGCTGGTGAGGAGAGCACCTCTCCTGCATGACCTGGGCACCAGGAGGCCACTGCTCTCAACCCCACACCACTGAACAGGCATTCAGCACCATCTCCTGAGCCCAGGTCCACTTGTCCTGAGCTCTCAGAGCACTCAGCCTCTGAGCAAGTAGACTGTCAGCAAAGCACCCTTGTGTATGGGGGCAAGAAATGCTTTGTGGGAAAAACACCAGTTTTTATCCAACATGGTTTTATAACAGCTCCAAGCCTCACTTTTTATACATGAGGTTTCCATGCACTGTATGTGCTACTTTGCTAACATTTGGGGTTAATAAGCATTTAAAACCTAATTATCTGGTAATGAGATCAGGAGTTTCAGCAGTTGGACTTTGTGGCTCCCTTCCAACTCAGAATATTCTGTGATTCTGTGAGACACTCCCACTTCCCACCACAGCTCAGGATAGCTCACCTTATCCAGTGGGACACTGTACAGCTCTGGCATCAGGCGTATCCCATTCTTCCCCTTGATGAGAACCCCCTCAAGGGCTTCCCGGTACTCCTGCACCTGAGGAGAGAGGAGAGACAATCTGCTCCTGGTCATGGCTCCTGCATCCTTCCCCTGCACACCTCGCCTGCCAGGGACTTTTTTCCCACCACCCCAGCAGGTTCTGCCCCCCTTACCTGCTCTATGTTTCCATTGAAAATCCCATCAATCATCAAGTATGCCCAGAAGAGAGGCCACTCGCACTCGATGTTCTCAAACAGCTTCAGCTCAGCGGGTTCATAGTAGAGGCGTTTGGGGTCCTGTAGGTGACAGCAAGGCAGACAGTGGGCGGCAGGATCCCCTCAAACTGACAGGGCTCCTCCTCCCCCCAAGACCCCGGCCTCAAATGCCCTCCCACCCCTCCTCTGCAGACGATGGCCAAGACAGAGCAGAGAAGCAGTTTCACCTTCAGCCTCTGTTCTCCCCATCAGACACCCCCCTCCCAAGCCCCCCGCACTGATGATGAAGAGATTTGCCCTTCCTGGAGCCTACCCAGTCCCCAGGAGAGCACCCCAGAGCCCCCAGAACACCCCAGACGCTGTGCTGTTGTACAGCAACAGCACATCCCCTGTGCCACACTGGGTCCCCTTTGCCTTGCCTGCTCTGCCCCAGCTCCCCAGCATCTGCCTCCTCCAGCATCATCAAGCTGGCCCAGCCAGGTGCAAGGGCTTGGGCTGGTCGTGCAGGGTCAGAGCTGGTTCCCTCCTGCCATGTAGTGCGACTGACACAAGGGAAGTTGTCAGGATGGAGATCTGCCAGCCCAGTGCAGCTGTGTGTGGTGTACCTATGCTTGACCCTCCCTGCTAACTGCTCTAACTCTGTTTGCTGCACAGAAGGAAGAGTGCTGGCCTTAGCAGACTGTTAGGCAGAGAGGACAAAAGGAACAGACATTTTCTACAGTGCCTGCACTCCAAGCCAGCTACAAGCTCCCAAAGTCCCATCTGACTCCAGGCAGCTTCATGCCCCTGCAGGCACTGCTGCCCTTCCTGTGCCTCACAGTTCTCCAGAAGTAATCCATGGCTTGGCACACTGGCAAAGCTCACAAGCGTTGGGAACGTTGGACTGGAGATGCTGCTGCTTTTCTTTGGCTCTGGAAGGGGGCAGCCACACACGCTGCCTATTATGGGCAGGTCTGCAGAGGCAGAGCCGAGAAGCATTCAGAGGCACTTGTGCCCAAAGGAGCCCCATCAGGTTATGGGCCCAGAAGCTGGTGATGATTTAAGAGCCTTCAAGTACCATTTCCTAGTTCAGTGGTTATCAAATGAGATTGTTGCTTATAAGGTTTTCCGGTTTTCCCTCCCCTGAGCAGCAGCAGAAAGTATCCTGAGAGCCACTATGTCAGTACCCAAGCTGCCTGCTGGCCTGGGAGAGGGAGAAGTAGCTTTGTGACCTTTGGAGCTGAAGCAGATGAGGAGCTCTGTGTGGTCACCTCCCCAGGCCTCCAGCCCCAGCTCAGGGCTGGTGCAGCCCTGGGAGAGCCCACCTCATCAGGGCTCCCAAGCAGGGCACTGGTCCCACCTTCCCCCAGCCCAAGGGAGACACACCACAAGGTCCCAGGATGGAGGCAGAGCCAGCCTCTGGCCATCTGCTATGGGCATGGGTGGAACGCACCACCTCTGCAATGAGCTCTGGCATTTTGGGAAGCCTTGCCCAGACCCATGACACTGCCTGGGGTTAGTTGGGGCTCTTGTCTTCCCAGTGCTCCCCAACACAGCCTTTGTGCTGCCTGCAGGGGGCTGCTGCTGGCAGGGCTAGGGACACTCACCTCTTTGGGGGTCCTGTATCCATCCCGGAGGAAGCGGCAGCAGCCATAGCGCCCCTGGAAGGGAGGGAAAGAGATGCCGAGCAAGAGGCACAGCATGAGGCATCTCGTACCTTCAATGCAGAAGCAGGGATGGGGTGTCTCCTCCAGCCAAACAGCCCCTCTCTTGCTCACCCAGTGCTCAGGCACCACAATCACAACCCAGGGCCACACAACACAGGGCTGCCTCTTTGCACATCCCTGCCACAGGTCATGGAGACTGGGAGAGGACACCCTCCAGCACTCCCTCCCCAAGGATGTTTTTGGGAAGAAAAGGGCTACAACAGTTTGGACTGCAGCTGTCCCCTGGGAATAGTGAGATGAGGGCAGAGCCACTCACCTGCAGCTTCGTGATGATCTCCTGCTTGGTGATTTCCACCAGCTCGCTGTCCTCCACAGCAAACGCCGGGTAGGAGATGACAGAGAGCACGCTGGCATCCACCTCCTTGGATGTGGAGGCCCTGGGCAGCATTGAGTGGAGGATGGACTGGGCAGAGGAGAATGAGGGGTGGTTAGGTTGCCAGGCCAGGCATCGTTCACACCACAACCCCAGCAGATCACGGTTCCTCCTGCAGTGGTGTCACGGCCCCACAGGTCTCACCTGGCAGTGCTGCACCTCATCTGACAGCACCCGTATGACTGACTCTGGGCCTCCCTTGGCTCCAAAGAGATCCAGCTCATCCAGTGCCTCCAGGGCAGCCTGCAAGCAGACTCAAAGAAGCACGTCCTCCACCATGCTGCCCACCTATAAGAGCTCTCACCCCATGCCAGTCCCTGTGTGTAATGCACTGCCCAAATTTAAAATAATTTGAACCCTGAGAGCTCAGAACCCTGTGGCTGCAGAACACCTCTGGTCAAAATGGGACCACATCTCCAAAGCCATGGGTAGCCAGACATCAACAGGGCCCTGGACATTTCTGCCACCCACACCAATTAACTCTTCACTCCCAGTTCAGGCAAAACTCAGGCTAGAGTGGCACAGTTTTATCCCAGTGCACAAGGAGAAGGGTCTTCCTCTCCAGGAACCTATGACTGCATGGGGCATTGAGCCTCAACAGTTCAACACGCCCAACCTGCCCTGTCAAAAAGCAGCTCAGGGCCATTGGTGCTCTCCACCCCCAGCCAGCACTTCTCCCCAGCTCACCTTGGCCATGCCGACAGAGCTGGCATTCAACTCGGTGATGCCCTGGTTTGTCTTGTCCCCGCGCTCCCAAATCCCGAAGTCCTGTGCAGAGGCAGCAGGCACTGGTTCACAACACACCCAGAAAGCCTTTGAATCCCACTCATCAGCAGTGCTTCCAGGAGGTGCTGGTGGGGCTGAAGGGGGACCCAGCCCAACACCTCCAGCACCAGAGCACGCTCCCCTTCCCCAGCGTGTGCTACCCACCGCGGTCTTGTAGGCGGCTTCAATGTAAAACACGAGGTTCTGGATAAAGTTGACTTCATCCAAGCTGTGAATTATGTGGAGGCCTGAAGCAGAGAGAAGAATTCACATCAGCCACTCCAAGCCCACAGGTACTCCCAGGACGGG